TCTTTCGTCGACCCTCCACCCTACCAAGCATGACATCCTTCTCCAGGGAATGGTCCCTTCTTACAACATGACCAAAATAGGTGAGACGAAGTCTGGCCATTCTTGCTTCCAAGGAGCATTCTGGCTGCACTTCCTCCAGGACAGATCTGTTAGTTCTTTTAGCAGTCCACGGTACTTTCAGCATTCTTCGCCAGCACCACAACTCAAAAGCATCAACTCTTCTTCGGTCTTCCTTACTCATTGTCCAGCTCTCACATGCATACCAGGCGATTGGAAATATCATGGCTTGTGTCAGGCGCACCTTAGTCCTCAATGAGATATCCTTGCTCCTCAGCACTTGAAACAGTTCCTTTGCAGTTGACTTTCCCAATGCTACACGTCGTCTAATGTCCTGACTGCTGCTTCCGTTGGCATCGATTGTAGAACCAAACAACGTGAATTCCTTGACAACCTCAATCTTCTCCATTTATTGTGATGCTGCTCATTGGTCCAGTTGTGAGGATTTTTGTTTTCTTTATGTTGAGATGTAATCCATACTGCAGACTGTATTCTTCAACCTTCATCAGTAGGTGCCTTAAGTCATCCTCACTTTCAGCAAGCAAAGTTGTATCGCCTGCATATCTCAGGTTGTTAATGATTCTTCCTCCAATCCTGATACCACGTTTTTCTTCATATAGTCCAGCTTCTCAGATTATTTGCTCAGCATATAGATTGAATAAGTGTGGAGAAAGAATACAACCCTGACGCACTCCCTTCTTGATTTTAAACCATGTAGTGTCCCCTTGTTCTGTTCGAATGACAGCCTCCTGGTCAAGGTACAGATTCCTCATGAGTACAATCAAGTGCTCAGGGATTCCCATTCTTCTCAATGTTATCCATAATTTGTCATGATCCACACAATCAAATGCCTTTGCATAGTCAATACAACACAAGTAAACATCTTTCTGGTATTCCCTTCCTTGAGCCAAGATCCATCTGACAACAGCTATGATATCCCTTGTTCCACGTCCTCTTCTGAATCCGGCTTGAACCTCTGGAAGTTCTCTATCAATATACTGCTGCAAACGTTTCTGAATTATCTTCAGTAAGATCTTACTTGCCGGTGATATTAATGATATTGTTCTATAATTTCTACATTCTGTGGGATCACCCTTCTTTGGAATGGGCACAAATATGGATCTCTTCCAGTCAGTTGGCCAGGTAGCTGTCCTCCAAATCTCTTGGCATAACTGAGTGAGTGCCTCCAATGGGGCATCTGTTTGTTGAAATACCTCAATTGGTATGCCATCAATTCCCAGAGCCTTGTTCTTCGCCAGTTCTTTCATTGCAGCTTTGACTTCTTCCTTCATTACCATTGATTCTAGATCATATGCCACTTCTTGAAATGGATGAAGATCGATCAGTTCTTTTTGGTACAGTGACTCTGTGTATTCCTGCCATCTTCTCTTGATGTTTCCTGCATCATTCAATATTTTGCCCTCACTGATCTGCACTGAAACTACACTAGAGGATCTCAAAAATCCACTCCAGCATTCAGATTTCATCTCCCACAGACATCATGCCGCTGACTTTTTATCTAAAACGTTTTACGACCTCCAGATACTTTGTGAAAGGCGAATCCAACCACAGTTACCCAACCAGACAGACAGGTTTGGAATACTCAATGCAGGGGAATAGGCAGCCTAGATAATTTGCTGTTCCCTCTAATTTCATAGGGAGTTCTGGTGGTGTAGTGCCTAAGGCATTTGACTGCTAACCAGAAGGCTGGTGGTTCAAACCCACCAGCCACTCCTCAGAAGGAAGACTGGGCAATCTACTTCTGTAGAGATACTGCCTTGGAAACCCAAGGAGGTGTCACTATGAGTCCAATCCCGGATCCCACTCAAGGGCAGTGAGTTTGGTTTGGTTTGGCTCTAATATCATTGAAATACACAGAAAATGCACGTTTCCCCTTTTCTCTACTTCATTCACTTTCTGTTATGTTTTTCCCATTTTCCCAGGGCTTGGGGTCTTCTAACATTTTCCCAGGTCACCTAGGGCCCCAAACAACATTTCTGCTGCCAAAGTCACCTTTGTCTGATTGGCTAAGATTTGTAGCCAAGAGAGGAGACATACTGGAGGGTGACAACCCTTCCTAACAGCAAAAGCCTTCTGTCAGGTATCTCCCAGTCTACACACGAGGCTCGAAGCTTCTCACTGCAGCACCCTCAAGATCTTAAAGCTTAAAAACAAAACAAAACAAAATGCATAGTAAGTCTATTTCAAAAGCAGCCTTTCCACTATATTAACATTTCTTTGGTGTTCGCAGGAAATCTTCATTCAGTCCTACAGCTAAAATATTGTAATTATTTCAGGAAAAACTGCGGTTTGCCATGTTCTGATCTCTGAGCTCCCCCTTGTGTCCTGATGGGAAATTGATGCAAAAAAGAACTAAAGGTCAACACATGTAGGTTTAGGGTCCAAGTAGTTCCCTAAAGCAGTGGTCCTCAAACTTCGTGTGCATCAGAGTTGTGCCAGTTACCAGTTGTTGTCCAGTCAGTTCTGACCCATGGAAAGCCCCCGAGTGTCCGTGTAGAGCTGTGCTCCATGGGTTTTCAGTGTTTTTTTTTTTTTTTTTTTACCTTTGGAAACAGATCTCCAAGATCTGTTTTTCCCCCAAGGCACCTCTGGGTAGACTCAAACTGCCAACTGCCAACCTTCCAGTTAGCAGCCAAGCATACTAACCATCTGTGCCACCCAAGGACTCCATCATCATCATAAGTAATTTTAAATAAAAATATAGTTGAAGTACCTCACCCTGTGGATCACACATTTTAAAACAGCTTTCCAGAAAACTGAAATGCAGAACAAAGTTTAAGAATCTCTTTTTTGGGAGGGTGGGGGTGGTGGGAAGAAGCCAAATCTCGAAAATCTGCATTAAGACTAATGACTCAAATTTTAATATGATTAGAATTACTTTAATAATAATTACTTTGTGTTTTTCAAAATTAATATTCCTGGGCTCAATATGCATAAGCTCTATAAGAAAGGCCCAGAAATCAACTTTTAAAATCAATATCTCAAGGTATTATGCTGCAGGGAATCTTAACAAACCTGCAAAAGATGTTCCCTATGTGGCAGACTGCTGAGCTCAAAAGAGAAACTTATCTTTTCTTCTACAAGCAAGCAAAAAAAAAGTCAGTTTCCCTATGCCATATTTAGGACCATGAGATTATTTTCTCTTTCATACTTTAAAGCATCAGAAGCCGCACTGGAGAAGTTAGATAGAGCGACATATTTTCTAAACTGCAGACCTAGTCACTTGTAACATCATCTGCTAGAGTGAGAGAATTGGAGACTTGGAGGACACATCACACAGCATCCAGGTAGGTTCCTAGAGCCTGCAGCTAAGTTCAAAAACAACCTGCAGGAAATACAGTAAGTACCTGAATTCAAGGCTATATGGTGGGATAGTGGATAGTGGATAATGGATAATGATGAAATAATGCTTTTATTGCTAGTATCACTTAACACCACTTCGTTTAAAGTGTAGTTTGCTGTCACTGATGCAAACCAGAGGGATCTAGTCTGGTGTCTCTAGCTTGAATTCTGGTAGAGGGATCTTTCACTGTATGATGCCTTTGAGCACCATATGCCCTGTTTCTTTCATTGATGGCTTTTACCTTTTTTAAAAAAAAAAAAATACTCCCCTCATCACAGTGTTTTCTTACTTGGAGTTGGTAACAAGAAAAATTAATTCATAGGTTTATGAGTACCAGAGAAACACAGCTGGTGAGAGGTGCATGTCAGTGTGCCTTTATATCCAAAAATAAGCTTAAAATACTACTTCACCATTGTAACTAATTTTAGGATACACAATTAGTTGAAGTAATGCCTAGACCACTGATTTCTTATCCTGGTATGACATAAGAAGGATCTGTTAAAATCCCTTGAGGGGTATTGTGAAACTCTCAACCATATAATTAAAGTAAATTTATTTTCTTTAAAAAAATACATGCTTTTTGTATACTGACAAAGAAAAATCTGCAAATCAAACTATGATCTCACAGTACCTTAACTCTAAAAAGATTAGAAATAATTAATATACTATTGAACAATAAAGATCTGTGAAAAATAAAAATTAGGAGGCATTTCAGTGTCTCCTAATGTTATAGAGGCAACCTTGCCATAAGTTGACAGTTCTTCTAAGTCTAAGGAGTTGTTTACTCTCCCCTAGTGGATAAGGCATTTAGCTGCTAACCAGAAGGTCAGTGGTTCAAACCCACCAGTTGCTTTGCAAAAGGAAGATGGGATAATCTACTTACTGTAAAGATTTACAGTCTTAGAAACACAATAGAGGTGACTATGAGTTGAAATCAACTCTATGGCAGTGAATTTGGTTTTTGAGAGTGTTCCCATCTATAGTAGACCATATTAAAAAGATCTAGACTGTGGAGAATTGTTGCCTCAATGACATCACTTAGATTAGCTGCTCGCTGATTCCATCACCATAAGTCATAAAACTGAATTATAAATAGGTCATATAAATTATCTACTCTGGCTCCCTGCCACTTACAGGGAAAGAAACTATGATTTGACATGAGATTACTTAGTCCAGAAATCCAGCTAGCTAATTGTAGATCCAGTACCATAACTCAAGGAAATTCCTAATTCAGCTTTCAAAGAAATGGGGGCTAAACATAAGAATAAATACAAGGATACAAACTTTTATAATTAACTGAATTATACCTTAGGTCATTTTTTAAAAAAAAAATAGACTTTTGAGATAAAAAGGATAAGAAAATGCCACTGAGGAGGCTGGGAAGTATTGTGATGAAGCAAGGACCTCCCCCTGTTAACAGGAATACAGCATTCCTATAATAAAAACCAACAGATTCTGTTCCCCTTCTGCATTCTACCTCACAAAGGATGTGCTTTAAAATAGTTAAAATTCTGGACAGCTTAGCTTTTTCACTATAAATAAACAGAAATGTGGAATAATCGAAGAGAAATAAGAATACCTGGGGACTGAAATCACTCCTGGTGCAGGTCTGTTAGGATTACACCTCATTTTCACAGCAGTTGACCGGCCATTAACACACGATGTTGTAGTTGTAGAGGACCTATTGTAAGGCAAATGATATTTTACCAAATGATAGGCCACAGATCACAAAGACTGAAATACTGTGCATATAACTGTTCCCAGGTTCTATGAACCAATGCTAAAATTATTAAAGTTCTCTAATTTATCATTGTAATCAAATTGAGCTCATTTGACTCCACTGTCTATGAAAAGTTGACTTTTTTCCCAGTAAAGTGATAAGCAACCATCAAGGTGTTTAGCTTAATTAAAACAAAACTTTTTAAAGAGAAAAGAGGTAATACCTACTTAAAGGTTGATATTTTGATATGCTGATTACAATTACTACCTACACAACAGAGTCTTCATATTGCCTGACTTAAAAGATTTTTTTTTTATATATTTGAAAGAAATTATATAAGGCTTTTTAAAAACTCCACATTTCCTACATTTACTGTCTTTCATTTAAGAAAGGAGCTGTGGTGGCATAGTGGGTAGGGCATTTGGCTGCTAACCTGGAGGTAAGCAGTTCAAACCCACCAGTTGTTCTCCAGGAGAAAGATGAGGCGATCTCCTTTTGTAAAGATTTACAGCCTTTGAAACCCAATGAGGGTCACTATCAGCCGGAATCAACTCAACGGCAGTGGGTTGTTTGTTTCTTTGTTTTTCTAAAGTGGGTTTTCATTTAAGAAGCAATAACTGATTTTCTATTAAGTACAAGCTCTGGTAGCCTAATGCCTAAGGCACTTGACTGCTAACCAGAAGGCTGGTGGTTCAAACCCACCAGTCACTCCTCGGAAGGAAGATGGGGCAATCTACTTCTGTAGTGATACTGCCTCGGAAACCCAAGGAGGGGTCGCTATGAGTCAGGTCTGACTCAACGGCACATAACAACAACAACAACACAAGCTACCAAGGGAGGCACAATGAGGTGACATAATATACCTTTCCCGCCACTAAGAACTTACAATCCATAATGGGAAATAAAATTCATGTCTGTGTGTGTTCTTTTTGATTTTTAAGAAAAGATAATCAAGGGAGGTAGTATCTTCACTTACTTATAAAAGAAATGCACATCTGGTAGTTGGCTTTGTGTAACTGGGAACATATCTTCTTTTATATTAATATTATGCAATGTTGTTTCAACTGTCACACCTAGATGACAATTTAAAAAGAAACTATTAAGCAACATGGAACAATTAGGTTTATTTACCTCGGTAGGTATAGATTAAAAATAACTTTACTTTGATGGAGTTTATACTATAAACATTGTATGAAATTAATGCATCCATGGCAAGAATATGAGACTTTTTAAGGTCTCCAGAATGAAAGAGAAAAGACTATACTTGCTGGCTTTGTGATCTTGCTTTACACTTCACTCCCCTGGGTCTTATTTTCTGAATCTGTAAAATGCTTGCAGTAATTCTAATGAGGTGTAAAGTCCCTTGCAGTTCTAAAATTTCAAAATTCTTCTATTAAAATTCTCTGCCTCTGATGACTTCACTAGCTTTTTGCTCACATTCAATATAAATATGTGACAAAACAAAAATTTGGGGGACATTTAATAATTTCTACAATCTAACCCCAAAATGTGCTTAATTTAAGAAACAGAAAAATATGGCATTTTCCCCATCTCCTATAGGGAAAACAGTGCAGAGCAAAAATGCAAGTAGTAACAGCAACCACTAGGGAGCTCTGGTAGCACAGTGCGTAAGGCAATTGACTGTTAACCAGAAGGCTCGCGGTTCAAACCCACCAGCCGCTCCTCAGAAGGAAGGTTGGGCAATCTACTTCCGTAGTGATACCACCTCAGAAACCCAAGGAGGGGTTGCTATGAGTCCGGTCCGACACCAGGGCACATAACAACAATGACAATAGCGACCGCGGCTTCTGATACCAAAGTTTTGATGTTGGGCACAAAGCTGTAACTGACCATGGTGCTGAAAAGTTAATGCTAAATTCCTCTGGAATCTAAGCAATGGTTCTCAAAGCTGGCTGTACACTGGAAATCACCACAGAAGCTTATTAAAACCACATACTCGTAACTTCTTCTCCAGAGATTCTAACAAAATTGATTCCTAAGAATCCTAATTACAGACCTGGATTCTTCTTCAACCCTCCCTGCAACTTCCAGGACCACCAAAATAGAAAGGGCAAATGGGGAATAAAATTCAGCATCCTCAGCTTTGCTACTTGTCACCAGCTTACTTCTGGTATGAGAAAAGATCATGAAACTAGTGTCAGGAATTATGATGTAGGTTTAGAGTGTGTTTACTGTTCTGATTTTTTTTTTTTTTTTTAGTTTGGGTTTTTTAAAGTATTTTGCCTCTTAAATTTCTGGAGATCTAATTAAAGACATAGGCCCTCTCTTTAGAATATCTCATATCACTTATGAATTAATACATACATTCAAAAGCTTCTTATACTCACTGAGATTCACTAATAGACCCCAGTTGCAGGAGCCTTTTTAGTCACATTACAAAGCCTGAATTTAGAATTACCTATGTAATTGTCTATAGTAAACACCAATGCAATGCAGTACAATGACAATTTATTGGTAATATAATTTTGGAATCTGTGAACACATATAGATGCACACATATATGAAACAAAGGAAGCTTACCTAAAAATGTATCTGCCAGAATGATCGACTGTGATGATAAGGCTGCTCGGAAACCCTTACTTTCAGAAGGAATAATAGTTGACTGGCATACAAATGCCCCGACCAGACTTGTGTCATCGTCTGACTTTCCTACCATTTCCTTTACTGTAAAGTCTGTTATGTTGTTGGTACAGAGAGCCATCTTCTTCCCCTAGGAAAACAAAGTCATAAAGGAGAGGTTTTCTCGGTGGTCAGTCTCTAAGCTAAATCTCAACTAACTAATACTACAATACTAAATACTGTAATAGTAGAACACTGGCTCTCTCCTCACCCCAGAGATTTTTATTTCACTCATCTGGTGTGGGGCCCAGGTACCAGTATTTTCTAAAGGCTTCCTAGAGATTTCCAATGTTTACCAGGGTTGAGGGTCACTGTGTTAAAATTAACAGTGTAATGTGAGGCTACGCTACTTCTCCCACCATGAGAATCAGTTGTGCTGAAAGCAAGCCATCTGACTTAAAGAAAGAAAAGTCACCTATGAAATTCTCATCTCAAGGACAACAACATATACAAAGAGATTAGCAAACTGCTGGTGAAGGTTGTAATGCCAAGGAAAAGGATTTGCTCTTCCTTCTCTACATGTGGCAGAAAGGTAATGTGAAGTCTGAAGAAGAAAACATAAAAGGCATATCGGAAAATCATAGGATATCATGATCTGAGTTCTATTCCATTGGTCACTGCATGTTTCTTTTTTCACCTTAAATTTATTCATCTTAAATTCCATGATCATTTGCAGGATGTCTGGAAGGTACAATTTATAAAAATTGGAAAATTGTTTAACTATCCTATTGTTGTTATTGGCCATCAAGTCAATTCAGACTCGGCGATCCCATGTGTGTCAGAGTAGAACTGTACTTTAGAAGTTTTAGAAGCACGATCTCCAGGGTGTTTTTCAGAGATGCCTCTCATGGGTCCAAAATTTCAACCGTTTAGTTATTAGTTGAGGGCTTAACCATTTGTGGCACCTAGGGACTCCCTGTTCAAATATAGTGTGCTTAAATATATTTCAGTGCCACTAACTAAGCCTGCTCTATTGATTCTACAAAGAATTGTAAAAATAAAACAGAAACACTGTTTTATCAGTCTTCGAGGTATAAATTGCATTGATGGAAGTAAAGAAAGTATAAACCTTTCTCTTCCTTAATGTTTCTAGCTATCCTAACCTATAAGATTCACCCCTTCCATCAAGCTTTCAATACAAGTGTGATACACTTTGACCAAACTGAAAATAAAATGTTGAAGCCAGCACAGAAAAATGATGGGAAAGAGCAGAGATAAAATATTGAGAAAGAGGAAAAGAGCAGAGACTAAAATGAAGAGAAAGAGAAGAAAAGGAAAGGAAAGAGAAGAACAACAGAAGGAGATAAGAAGATAGAAGAAGAGACATTGGTAATATAAGAATAAGATTGAGAAGTGTGATTTATAATGGAATTAATCTTATTCACTACTTGACACACTAATTAAATAACAAGTATTCAATATTTATTTATTTGTTGAGTGAACTGAGTGGTCAATTAAGTGAATGTGTTAGATCATCCTGAGTATTAAGACAGGACAAATGACATGCCATGTAAAATTTATAGATCTTTTTTGTTTCAGAACTTCTATTACCATTAGATTTGTTTATATTCCTTTGCACAAAGTTTGCAACAACGTTTCATAATGAAGACAACTAAAAGTATAGGAGTCAATATGGAAAGTGAGAGGGAGGAAATGCTTTATTTTGTTCTCATTCTTGCTAATTGTCTATATGTACTTCCCAACCCTATTCTCATTTAAAAAAAAACTCACTGCCACCAAGTAAGATCCAACTCATAGCAACCGCTCATTGGGTTTCCAAGGCAGTATTACTACAGAAGTAGATCACCAAATCTTCCTTCTGAAGAGTGGCTGGTGAGTTTGAACCATTAAAATTCTGGGTATAAAGTCCTCTAATTCTTCCCAATACTAGTATCAATTAAGGTTCCAATTCTTCTCAAAGAAAAAAATTCCATTGCTTATATATAGTGTGTTATTAACAGAGGCTTACCTAATGCAATGACATTTGTCATCTGCATATACTTTTTATTTTTGGACAAACTTCCTCTTGGAAGTCTTTTTATTCCCCCTTTTAAAACAAAATTTACAAAATTCACAATTTAAACCACAGTAAAACTTTCCAAACCACAGTTGCCTGCCAAACAATAGTTGAAATTGACAAGCCTGATCTACTTTAAAAAAAGAAAAGAAAGAAAGAAAGATCCCTAAAGCACATCACAGCTGCAAGCTTTGGGGTTCAAATGACTGGATAAGTACTTTGATGGACTGAGAACCAGACAAGGTGGCCCTTGGTAGAAAAAGATGCCAACATGCTAGGAAGCAACAGCGATGTAAGCAAGAAAAGCTCAGCTTCTGACACTTGATTGTTAGTTTCCAAAGAGATTTTTTCGGCCCATCAAGACAAGAAAATATCAATCAGAGCTGAAAATTAACTCCATCTCACCTTGACAGCCAGAACTTACCTCATGCCCACATAAACTGATATTGAAGAAATGATAGTACTTTGTTCCTTTGGAGGTGAAGCTGGGACCATTCATTAATGAGCCAACACTACTGAGGTTGCTAAAGTCATAGTGCAAACTCTGGTTTTCTTTCTCATGGTAGAAAAAGCAGTCACTGTAGCAAACTGAGTGGTCCTTTGATCAAAGATGAAGAAATGTAGAAAAAAAAATACAGCAGGAAAGAAAGGATTAGCTGCTACTGAAAATGATTTTCAAAACTAAGTTCTCGGTTTAAAAGCTATTTTAGTACTTTGGTTTTAGTTTTGTCTTATCACATTAATATAGTGAATTCCTAAATTCTGCCTAGATTTTTCTAGGCAAATTTCAAAAGGTTCAGAATATTTTTAAATATTTAAACACCAGAGTAATGTTATTCTAAGACTAGTTTCTTATTAAAAGCAAAATTAAGAAATAGTCGAAACTCTGTTATGCCAGTTTAAATACATAATAAAATCATGGTCTCTCTTTCACCTATAACACAGAATCAGTCTTCAGTACAGCAAAATCTTTAGCAATCATAGCATCCACCTTAACAGAAAGCATAAGAAATCAGTTTTTGTATTTTGGGAAAGTATTCTTATTTAGGGACTTTCCTTAATATTCTATACAGCCCATTAGCCGGTACTTTACTGGTACACATTAAATGTACAATAATATAAGAGGAGGGAGAACAGAAAATTTCATTTTTCTGCATAAATAATAACTTCACATTTTCTGGAGAAATATTAAGGAGTACTTGAGAGTCTCCATTAAAATGTCCTTTCACAGGGATAACCGAAATGTAGACCCACTTACCTGAGTGCTTTTACTCCCAGGCCCACAGGGAATACAAGCCTCCTTGCCATAGACTTGATGTATGGACAGGTAGGTGTCAGGTGGACACTCCTTGCACTGGTTGGTTTCTTTCTCAATGTAGTGGCCTGGGGGGCAGGGGACACACGATGAGCCTGACTGTTCAGAACCGAGGGCACAGGCACGGCATGAGGATGCCACCCCATCAACTGCATTAGTGGCTGTGATAGAATATATCTTCACCATATCATTGATGAACCGTCTATTCTAAAAAAAGAGCAGAAAGTAATGACTTCTGCCTGGAGGTTTAATTAAACAATTAGATTTTTCCTTCTTATGTTGCTATCACCAACATAACTAAGCAGAGTACTCCAGTCTAACAGTTTGTAACTGACAATGAATTAATATCATTCTTATTCAGTTCTTATAAAAACAGTCTTAAATCTTGACACTAGAAGCTATTTTCCACTATAATGGAGTTCCAGAAATTTTGCCATAGTATGTGTTAATTGATAAAAACTCAGGCATATCAATAGACTTTATGTCTAGAAGAACAGGTATGGTTTAATAAAGGAGTGACTTTCGCTCCCATAATTGTACATTCAGATATAAGCCTAAATCTAATGATATAATAGATATAAGTTGATAGTAGGCAGGGTAGAAAGAGACTTTAAGTCTTGGAAGACTCCAACTCTGGTTCTCCCATAAACACCAACCATATAACACTGAAGTACTCAAACCACTTCTTTGGGCCTTCCTTCCTCTTTCCAGCACTTTCCACACCAAACATATTCTGATTTCTACTAAAGGGACACAGAACAGAGAACAAGAACTTGGGCCCTTACACTTTACTTTCTTGTAACCTGGTCCATGAAATGTGTCACCAAGCAGTGGAGATCATTCTACTCTAATTCGTACAGTGAAGAGTTACCACAGGCTACATAATGCTTTCTGTTGTCTGGGACAAAGATAAAAGAAAGGCAAGGGAAAAATAGAGTTCCACAACATGGTCGTGGTCCACATGAAGGTAACCTGGACACTCCACAATAACTGGAGTCAGTCAAGTAACATCTGGGGAAAGGGTACCCCAGTGAGAGTCTAAAGAGGAAATGTTCTGCATTTGCCGCCACAGTGTGAAGGCAGCATCTGAACAAGTGGTTTACCTTGTTCTCATCTTGAAAGGCCCATTTTATGGATGTCAACAAATAGCTGTACCAAGAAAGTGCCAGTTCTGCTACTAGTAAAATCCACAGTGGAATCTGCTTAGGGGAGGACTGGGGTCTATTCTAGCAGGGAAATAAAGGTAAGTAAGTCTGTGTGTTAACCAAATTGTATGTACACACGCTTTCCAGGCTGTAAAAGGAGACATTATAGTAATGAAGTAATAAACCACCACCAGTTAATGGCTTCTAGACAAATGCAAAACCATTGAGATGAAGAAGAAGAAAGTTGCCAGCTTTTTCAAAGCCTCAGAAAGCTTTAAAAGTAAGTTTTTAAGTAAATCCAAAATTAGACATTTTTTCTCATGTTTCAAACAGCTATATTTCTTTAGAGTTCAGAACAATTTAAAGATACATTGTGTTAATGCATGTCATCCATGCTTACCCTCAACAAAAAAAAAATCTAACAATATTTATCATTCCTATATCAATCCACTCTACAACCAAGTGATTACTTTCACGAAGTAAAAAGCTAAGGTTTTTCCTCCAGTACAGGAGTGAGAGTACGTAGTACTCTGTGAATATCTACCAGGGGCATCAATTTTGTGCTGAAAAAGGGGGCTTGCAACTTACATCTTGACCCTGATTAGTTCTCTGGAATGCCCATGTAAATGTAAATGTTGCATTCTTGAAGATGATGTGGGTATAAGCTTGTTTTTCTTTGGTTCCACCCCATGATTCTACCACATTGGTACTTTTTCTATTAATATCCTGTAATACAGTAAAAAAATATATGTAAATAGAGCACAAACTAAGTATTAATATAAGTGTATATACATTACAAATGTGTTTTTATTTACATAATAAACCCTGTATAGCTCACGAATATTTATCTGCAGAATATATATATATATATATATATATATATATATATATAAAACTCTAGAATTCCCAAAACTTCCCTTCAAGTCTGCACAAGCACCTTACTCAGTTAGGACTCATAATATATCAACCACATTGTCACTATAACTTGATAGAAATTTCAAACAATAGTGTGTTGATGGTTTCTTTTGTGTGTGTGTTTGTGTGTCTCATTTAGGAAAATACATTTATAAGGGGAAGCATAATTCCTCAAACTTTTCATAGTAAACTAGGATCCTCATAGAATGGAAAGGCTTTGCAATTTTATGTTTTTCCTTGAAAGATTCTGACAGGCAGCGTTTGCATTAGAATCATAAATGCTCCCTGAATTAACTCTGGCAACTTCCACTTTTACTCACATGCAGGTTAACCAGGATGTTATTTTATGTGCATAGTCATAATTATAATAATCATGAAACATTCTCTTGCATATACTTGAATTTCAAAAGGTTTAATTTGTATGACATATAATTTCTAACCAGAAGGCTAGCAGTTCAAACCCACTCCTCGGAAGGAAGATGGGGCAATCTACTTCCGTAGTGATACTGCCTCGGAAACCCAAGGAGGGGTCACTACGAGTCATGTCCAACTTGACTGCACACAACAACAACAAGTTTCCTGAGCTAAACTCAATATTTAGAATAGTCATACTAATTGTGAAAATAAACCGTATGCATTCATTAACATGGCTAGAAAGCAAATATAATAAGCCAACCAAATAATATAATATGCATTGTTGTTGTTGTTATGTGCCCTGGAGTCGGACCCGTATCATAGCAACCCCTCCTTGGATTTCTGAGGCAGTATCACTATGGAACTAGATTGCCCAACCTTCCATTAGATTTATTTAAAATAAAAACTAAGACTAACCCTGGATTTTCTAATTAGTCTTCCTTGCAGAGAACCTGATAAATGACTTAGAAACTTGGGTGGGGACAAAAAGGGCAGCATTTGTCCCAGGATAAAGTACAGAAGGCAGAAAGGGACAGGAGGGAAGGATGAATGGAAGGGGAAATACAGACAGGAAGTGGGAAGAGTGCTATTACATTGTGGGGACTAGAATCAATGTTAGAAGGCAAAATGCATATGAATTACTGAATGGAAAGCTACTTTGCTCTGTAAAGTTCCACTCAAACCACAATAGAAAGTTTAAAAAGAAAGAAACTTGGGTGAGTTTCAGTTTGTTATTTGGGAAACTGGCAAACATCCAAATGTTCTTGGAATATTCATATTTTTGGAATTACAAAATATACTTGTTATGTTGTTGTTGTTGTTATGTGCCATCGAGTTGGACCTGACTCATAGTGACCCCTCCTTGGGTTTCCGAGGCAGTATCACTACGGAAGTAGACTGCCCTATCTTCCTTCCGAGGAGTGGCTGGTGGGTTTGAACCGCCAGCCTTCTGGTTAGCAGTCAAGTGCCTTAGGCACTATGCTACCAGAGCTCCTACATGACAAAAATCCCCACATCATCGAGTAACCAAACCAGCACATCTCTGTGTCCAAAAATGAGTTTGTAGGATACAGATTGTACTTCACTCACTGAACACCATTTCTCTGGGTCATAATAAGTGGAATTTACTATAAATAATATCACCTTAGGTACCTGGGTGGCGCAAATGGTTAAGCATTTCAACTATTAGACGAAAGGCTGGCAGTTGAAACCCATCCAAGGGCATCTCAGAAGACAAGACAGGCCTGGAGATCTGCTTCCAAAAGGCCACAATCTTGAAGACGCTATGAAGCACTGCTATTCTGCACACATAGGGTCACCATGAATTGGAATTACTCAATAGCAGCTAACAACAACATTACAACCTTACATTTGTAAAGCATTACATGGTTTTCATATGATACCTGTCTCAAAAAAGAAAAGAAAAAACCCCTGAGAGTACATCAAATCACACAGAAGAGGAAAGAAAAATTAGCAGATTCTGCTTGGAACTAAAAACTCCGGGTCTAATTTACAAAATAAATAACACTTTATCCCTACCCTCAGGAGCATCTGGTCAAGTGAGAAAGACAAAAATATAAATAAATTCTTGTAATTAAGATAGGATTTTTTCAAAAGTTTTTAGAAGCACACTGGAGAGAGTGTTAACTTTACTTATAGGAATAAGAGAAAGCCTCCCAGAAGAAGTAAAATTTAAGCTAGCTTTTAAATATGACTGGGAGTTCACCAGGCAAAACACAAAGAAAAATGTAATTTTAGCTTAGAATGTCAAGCACAGGAAATAAAAAAAGTACGTGGTGATCACTGACATTAACAAATTTAGAATGTCTAGGAGCTCTGGTAGCATAGTACCTAAGGCACTTGACTGCTAACCAGAAGGCTGGCGGGTCAAACCCAGCAGCCACTCCTCAGAAAGAAGGTTGGACAACCTACCTCCGTAGTGATATCACTCAGAAACCCAAGGAGGGGTCGTTATGAGTCGACAGCATGTAACATCAACAACAGGGTAAACATTGAGAAGTAGGTTTGGTAACAGAGGCTCAGGAAAGAGTACCAAAAAAAATCATTCAGAAGCCAAGGAATGTGAAGTATAAACTATTGTTTAGTGGTTCTCAAACGTTGGCATGCATCAGAATGAATGACTCTCAAGTCTTCTAAAATACAGATTGCTGGGCCCCTTCCCAGAGTTTCTGATTCAGTAAGACTAGGGTGGGGCCTGGAATTTTGCATTTCTAACAGTTCTCAAGTGATGCTGGTCCTAGAGCCATACTCTGAGAACCAATGCTGGGGGGGTGGGTACCACCAACAGTAAGGGGGTAGATTTGTTGTTGACACCACTGCCATAACTTTGAGAAGTGACTAAGTTGGGATAATTTTGACAGCAACATGAATGACAGTGGAGATGAGAAAAATGAAAGATGATGACTCAATAGTTTATTTGAGAAAACCAAACCAAAACAAGACAAACTCTTTGCTGTCTGTCCATCCAGACTCATAGGAACCCAATAGGACAGAGTAGAACTGCCCTACAATGTTTCCAAAGCTGTAATCTGTGAAAGCAGACAGACACATCTTTCTCTTGCAGAGTAGCTGGTGGGTTCAAACCACCAACCTTACAGTTAGCAGCCAAATGCTTCACTGCTGTGCCACCAGAGCTCCTTTGAGAGATATTACAACAAACAAAAAGCAAACTCACTGCGACAGAGTTGATTCCAACTCATAGTGACCCCCAAGGGGTTTCTAAGGCTAAAAGTCTTCATGGAAGTAGATGGCCCCATATTCCTTCCACAGAGCAGCTGGTGGGTTTGAACCACTGACCTTCTGGTTAGCAAATGCCTTAACCACTATACCACCTGAGCTCCTTTGAGAGATACTTGTTGTTGTTGTTGTTGTGTGCCGTCGAGTCGCCCCAACTCATAGCGACCCCTCCTTGGGTTTCCGAGGCAGTAACACTACGGAAGTAGGATTGCCCTTGAGAGATACTAGAGGTCCACATTTGAGCAATGGCATTGAGCATGAAAAAGAGCTAACAGATTAAAGAAATCATTCCGAGTTGGGAGAATTGAAGATTTATTGTTATCTGAATTACAAGAGACGAATGTGTTGAAAATTATTTATGATCTTTAACTGCTACAAAGTTAATAATTTTTTTTAAGAACAAAATAGTCTGTCTTCATTCAAGCTATTAGTAATGCACTGCCATCGAGTCAGATCCGACTCACAGCGACCCCTCCTTGGGTTTCTGAGGCAATATTACTACGGAAGTAGATTGCCCAACTAGATTGCCCAACTTTCCTTCTGAGGAGTGGCTGGTGGGTTTGAACTGCCAGCCTTCTGGTTAGGAGTCAAATGCCTTAAGCACTTTGTCACCAGAGCTCTCAAGCTATTACTAATTGTAGGTAAATGTTTAAATCTCCATACGTCTATCCCATGAGGGAAACTGTGATAGTTGGAGCTGTGTGTCAACTTGGCTGGACCCCAGTTCTGTGTGGTTGTTCCCATGATCAGATGACTGTGTTGTGAGTGGCCAGTCTGCCCAAGGGGAGGTTCTCTAGGGGTGTGGCCTGCTTCCAAGATATCCAGGGACATCCTGGGAAGAGCCGCATTCCTTGAGGGGTTGGAACCCTGGTGTGCGAACTACAGACTTCCATGAGTGAGCAGCCCACCGCTCGGCCTGGAGATCTCAGATTCGTCTTTTTTTGGAGTCAACAACCAGTGTACTGCATGCCAGCTGAATCTCTCGGCCCCCCTGTGCTTGCAGAAGCCAAGGCGGCCACAAGCCCCATCTCCTCCAGAGACTTGGACTTCTCGGCTTGGACTTGTCAGCTTCTATACGCTTGTGAGCCATTTTCCTAAGATAAATTTCTCTCTCTCTCTCTCTCTAAATATATATATATACTTTGCTGGTTTTTGTGTTTCTCTAGAGAACCCAATCTAACACAGAAACTGTTAAACTATTAACTTGCTACTAAAGGCTCATTGGGGAAAAAAGCAAAAAACAATATATATTTGAGTGCATACTTAATTGTAATGCTAATATCTTAGCTAACAACCTACTGATGCCCACAAAAGGTCTTAGTAAATTTTGTGCTGCTACTTTTCTCAAGCTAATAGTTGAGATTTATATCACACCGTGTAATTAAAAAAATGAGTGAGGTTACGATGTGTACTTAGTAAAGACCTGTGTCCCAATTTATTACATTTAACAAGGAAGAGTTTTCTTTCTTCCCAATGCTCTGTCACCTTCATTTTCTGCCCTCTTTTATTAATATGTCTTTTTCCTCCTGATAATTTGAATTGCTGAGTAGTCATTAGGGGAGAATTTTCATTCTGTTGGTGATATGACATGTTTGAAGGAATTTTCTACAAGATTAGTAATCCCTGTCTCTGTCAGTTACCTGGCCCACTTCTTTCCATCCTGCCCATGAGGTATGAACATACCCACTAGGGTTCCTTTCTATGTGGACTTTAAATCAAATGAAACTCACTGCTGTCAAGTTGGATCCAACTCATAGCGACCCCTCCTTGGGTTTCTGAGGTGGTTATCACTACGGAAGTAGAGGGCCCAACCTTCCTTCTGAGGAGTGGCTGGTAGGTTTGGACTACCGTCCTTCTGGTTAACAGTCAAATTCCTTAGGCAATACAGGGACTTATTTAGATATTTTTTAATGTTTTTGGGAGGCCCCAAGAACAGCAAGAAAAATAGGATTCTTACCCCAACTTGCATAGTTAAATTAATTCATAGTTTAAAAAGAATGCTAAGCTTAGAAACCTGTCTTCCAAAGGCCCTCTTTCACTTACCACCATGAAGTACAAAACACAGTCAGCTGAACAAAGGGTCTCAAAGACAAAGGTCAGTCTTCCTAGTTCAGAACCTGTAGCTCCAGTAACAGATGTTGGTGGTCTATTGGACAGAGTAGAACAGCAATATTTTATGGTAGGTTCTAAATTCAATTTGGAGCAAAATTAACCTATTTTTCTTTTCATTAAGCTAAAAATCACACTCTTCTCTTCCTCCAACCTCTTGCCCTACCACACCTCCTTCCTCACTCAATCTCTGAATGCCATGCTAAAGCAAAAAAATGAAATAAGAGAGAGATTCTTACTGGGAAATTTTGAATGTGGAAAACTAAAGACTGAAGAAGTTTTAACATACTATCTTATGTGTAACCCTGAGAAAAATAAATAAGCCAAAAGAGACTCCTGCAAACAATTTGGACTATGACTTCTCTCGATTCAACACCCAAGAATCATGGTTATTGTAGCATTTGGCTATAATATTGTTAACATTGTTCAGTGTCATTTCAGTAATATAGAATATAGTTTCTCAATCACTGATTCTTTAGGTATTCTTAAACAGAATACATCACCCTTTGACCATTTCTTTCCTGAGTTCTTTACAATACTAACATATTTTATAATGGCAATCCTATTTCAATTATTTTTATGAGAGACAGGTATGAGGATTCTTACAGAAGAGAAGCAGAATTGGTTTCCTTACTTAAATCCTGGGATATGCAAGTTTAAGATCAGGTAATCATTATCTGAGCCTCCAGCCCCACTCTGGATATGATCTCCAGCCACCTCCCAACCTGGAAGTGATAGAAGTCATTCTTATTAATAAAAATCCCATTAATGTTTTCCAACAATGTTTTAAAATAAGATTTAAAAAGATGTATCAACATTTAAAGTTAGAAATAACCCCAAAGAATCCCTGTTTATGTTTCAGTTGCACAGAGCATGCAGAGTTAGACTCCTTGATACCAACAAAGATATTCCGTATGATTCCCCGGAAGGAACCAAGTCAATGTTTTGCATAAAATTTATTTAATAGGAGAACTAATAATGAGACATGACTTTTTAAAAACTAAAACAGATGGTCTTTATCCATTCTAATACATTAAGATGAAAATTTTGTGTCTTCAAATAACCAATGGGAAAGAAAAAGTTCAAGTTACCTAAAAAAGATTTAGGGTCCTGAGCTCTTTCTTACAGTTTGCTGTATTGCTATTCTCTAGTTTAGTCTCTGCTCAGGCATTCATCCTTTTATTTATTTATTTATTTATTTTCATTCCACTAGCATTAACTGAGTGTCAAGCTCTATACCAGACACTGGGCATAGAAAGGTAAGACAACATCTATCATCTTCAAAGCGTCAGAAGAATATGAGAGACAGACACTGTTAACAGAATGGGGTGAAAGAGTTGTGCATAGGTTATATGAGGTCTGTCCTGTGCACAGAAACAGCCAACATACCAAAGGCTGAAACAATTAAATGAAAGAAGCATTCTCACACACCCTGTCAAGTAAGGTTAGTAATTAACAGCAATGTCTTAGCATTGACACTTCTGTCTTTAAAAGAAAATATCAATATCTGCCACTTTAAAGAGAGAGACTTTGGAAGAGACTGTAATGAGTGCTAGATTTGAAGACTATAAGCAGTTATAGAAAGATGATGTGTTAAATACACATAAACCAAGCTAGTCTAAAAATGATACGTACTACTCTACTTACTGATGAGAGAAATGTCAATTGTTCTGCTGTCTAAATGTTCGTGTGGTCGTAAAGAGATATACGCACGTATCAACTCCAAATATTAAGTGTTGAGAAGCTGCAACACAATCTGACCCAGGAGAAAACAGGTCCCTGACTGCAGTGTAGTAATATGGGAAGCATTTAAGTTTAGAGAAAGACTGCAAACGTGTGGGTTAAAGGAGGAGAGAGAAATTCTCACATGGAGCAATTCCATACCAAGACAGGGAGAACTTTATGAATGTTTCTGTAAGAACACCTGTGTACTGTTCAGAAATGCCGCAGTGAGGGATGGAATAGCAGGAAAGGCCAGAGAGAAGAAAATAATAGATGAATAGCAGAGGGATAAGTTTGGAGGGCACTAATACTTCTACAAGAGGCAGCAAACATTTCTTAGGTGTGAACATTATCCAGAATGTTCACAGACATGCACTGGTGATAATAAAGGAACCTAACCCTTTGCAGGTCTAGACTTGGAACTCCAGATTGACAGAAAAAGGAGAGAGCAAGGGAAGCCACACACAAGATAATGAATTGGTCAAGGACAAAAGGAAGACCATGACCTCAAAGGAAACTGATAGGCCAGTATTAATCTAAGTGCCTTAAGGTATAGTCCAGAACTGCCCAAGAGAAACATGTGAACCACAAATGTGACCCACACGTGTAATTCTATATTTTCTAATAGCCATATTAAAGAAGTGAAATTGAATGTAATATATTTTATTTAACCTAATTATCTAAAACATTTTCATTTCAATATGTAATCAATACTAAAATTATATATTCTACTAAAGATTTATTTCTACGCACCTGTTCTACAACTATGTGAAATTCACACTAAGAATATATATGTTGTTGTTGTTGTTATGTGCCATCGAGTCGGCCCCGACTCATAGCGACC